AATCTTATTGTTTTTCGGACCTGATAAAGGTAGGCTACCAGCTTTGATATATAAATTGTCTTTGCTATCATTTGGAGAACATAGCGCTAAGGCTTATGAAGTGATCCCTGCCACCTTGGTTTGGCCTGTCCATCTCACACACAGGGAGCAAGACGTGGATTGGTGCCATGGGGTTCTGTATCGGACATTTTCTGGGTGCCCTCAAACCGACCCCACTATTTCTTTTCTCTCCTATCGGTTAGCCAATCCAGCAGAATGTGTATCTATGACCAGCTTCAAGAAAACTTTCTTGGCTATCCAGCAGTCCTTTTATGAAGCACCCAAAATCGATTCCTTGTCACCACAGTTCTGTTGCAACTGAGGCAAAACGGTCAACCTGGTGAGCAGCTTGAGCCAGCACAGTCTGGACGTTCAGTTAGTCGACAATTACTGGTTTTCCAGAAGAAACTTGATCACATCTTGTATATCCCCAAGAGAAAGAATTCAGCATTGACTGTCATATCACCCTCTCTGGAGTGACTGCCCGACCTAAAGAGATCGTCCTTCATACTGGCCACACACAACATTAGAGTTCTAATTAACCGTAGCTGGTAAGCCCAGCTTTGGTCACAGTCAGCCATGCATCGAGACGAGGCCGAACCTTAGGACTATCTTTAATTAGCTATCACCCAGTGACATCCGATGAAAATATCAGAAATCATGTAGCTTATTACTGCCAGCACATGCTGATGTGGAGCATTCAAAAGTAGATTTTAGGTAATAAAGAACACAAACTCACCAACCACGCCGGAGAGATTTCAGTGACGAACCACATTAAGCTTCTGTTGGTTTGGGAGGTATCTGTTAACCACCCAAATATAAACACACATTAGATTTGCACGTATTCACACAGGCCCAATCTAGCTGCAGAGTTCCGTGTGCCATATAAGATGTAGGATATTAATAGTACATAACAGAAGTTGGGCCATCAGGATGGTGATTGATTTTATCACAGAAAGCCGATAATTATTACAGTAAAAAAGCACAGAATATTCTGTATTGGTCTCGGTTGTTTGGCATTTCCAAAATCATTTTCAATCAAGTACAGTTTTTGGCTTTGGGTCCTCATCTTGGAAGTTATATAGGTACAACCGAACCGATTGGAGCAATGGTTGTCTTCATGAGTTTTCTTCAAGTATCGAGTTGACCATCCACTGCCTGTACCCAGCTCATTTCGGGGCATACCACGAGGTTTCGTTGGAGTGGGCGGCCAGGGGACACTCTCAGAAAATGATTCTCCTCCAAGATATTACTTGGATGGTAGTACTAGTCACCCGTCAGGAACAAAGACTTTATCAGTGTTGTTAGGTTACTTTCACCGGGCGTGATCAACGCCTCACATAATTTGGCCACCAAATATCCTTGATTGAGACATTTAGGTTTTGTTTCCGCACAGTAGCACAGTTATATTAGGGCATTTTAAATAGTACATTTCCGGAAAATGAGGATGTCACCGTCACTACAGGTGGAAAAAGTTGCATGGTCTCAACTACTCGACCTGAAATTCCATTATTTGGACTATTAACAATGAAGCCAATTCCCAAACAGAGGTTCTGCAGCACTGCAAAAGCGGTGGTACGGAAGGAGGCCTGCCAAACGTGACTATTCCTTTGTGGAGAGTGCCACTTTCGAGACGACAAGTAGGAGTAATGATCTTTTCTGGGTTGTTCCGTGCTCTTAGCTCAAAATCGCATGCGATTGCTGTTTTTCATTTATTTCAAGTCCGTCGGCAGTTCCATCAAATTGTTCCCTCCAGCTCTTCTGATGTCCCAGAATACCTTGCATGGCATTTAAAATGTGTCATCTTGGCTTGGTACTTGAGTTTGGGTGCTGCAATGACCCTGAAGGCAACATCGGTTGGAATTTGGCTATGTCATGAAATATAAACTGAAGCACTCAGAGTAATGAGGCCAACTTCTCAAATATTAGGCAGTCTGGAAGCAAAGTCGTGCTATATTCTGCAATAGGAGTAGAAGGAAATATGTTTTCCCATTCAGGTGACCACCGCATCGATATTTAAAAAACCTATGATGGTGTTTTCTCTTCATGGGAAAGACGTATCTAGAAGGGCTAGTCCTGTGGTTGATTATGACCACTAATTAGCTATCAAATACTAAATTCTAATTAAATCCTACCAAGAATAAGATTGGGGGCTAATTTTACCCGCAATGCACACTATGTACGGTGGCACGACGAATGAGATATCAATGCCTATAGCCCTTCTAACAAGTGGAAACCATACTACCAGGTTTCTACAGCTTTGACTAAGACGGAAAGGGGTTCGTATCGTCGGACAAAATAAATTTCAGTTTCTTTAGGCAATGAAGACCATATATCATCATCATGGACGGGTGTACTGCTGTTGTCAGGGTCCCCTAGGCGGCCTAAAGTTGGGGCTGTTTTTTCGAGAAGAACTATATACTTTAACCCTTAGATTGCATCATTGACCCTAAAAACAGAGATAAAAATTTAACCTAGCCAGTGTTGATCGACACACACCAAGATAAAAGTACACTGCCACGTGAACTTTTTCATGATAGGTCCATATTTCGTGTGCGGGTCAGGAACCTTTAAAAACTCACAAAAAATAAGCATCTGTAGCCTTTCAGCATAATTTTTTATATCGATCTGATCACTCCTAATTAAACTTTCAAACCTGGTAATAGCTCAGTTCATGTATTCCTAATAATGTTTTAAAACAATGTTTTATTAGAAAACAAGCCCAAGAGTTTGCCGCTGAACGTACAATCCGCACAGAATGATCCATTTCCTGTAATTTAGCAACAGGATGATTCTGATGCTTTCAGGAAGAGACAGTTTTAAGGCTATTTTTGGATTCATTCATGCTGCTTTTGAAGTATCTGTCACAGTAACCAAATCAGTTTTTCATTCCTTGATAAAAGTCCCATATAAGCACCCCACCTCTCGCAAACTCGCAATCGCTTATTTTATAATATAATGCCGCTACCCATTCCATGAAGATTCTTTTATGATTCACAGCATTCTGGAATTTGTAGGTGGTCGAGGGAACTGTAGACTCCAAACCACATCCCTCTCGTTTGAACAGTTGTCCTCCTGTCCTGGTGTGGTAATTCTAATGAGCCACCTTAGAATAATTACTGCAGGACAGGAGGACGACTGGTCATTCGAGAGTGGTGTGCACTTGAATTTTGAAGTTTCTTTCCTTGAAGGCTGTATTTTCCCTCCGTTGTCAGTTAGAACCATCTCACGAAGCAACAATCACAATATTTGTTTAGACCTAACGCACTACTCATCACGAACGAGAACTTCAGCTAGGTTCCATCAATACCAAATTGGTAAGGAAATGATTGTATTTTGCTGAATAGTTGTTCTCATTTAACCTCGGCAAAAACTTACAAGCACCCACCTAGTGACATTAGCACAACAAACGCAGCCCATACGCAGGCACACAAGGATACCCACCCCCTCGGTCACTCTCATTGGACTAGATAAGGTCATGTTTAAATGCACGTTACTTGGTAACTGGGTGGTATTGGTGTTTTAGTTGTCCGTACGCAACTCTTTCTCTAGTAGAATGATTGTCCTTAGGAAAAAAGAGTAAACTACCGTCAACTGACAGCCGAACTAGGACCGAAGACCAAACGGTTTGTACACTCGTTGCATCCGTTTTTTCCGATTTTCCCCTATATGTTTAGAACAGGTAGCTTTAGTCGTAATGAGCATATCAAATCTGTTATCTGTTTATAAAGATTAAATGTACGTGAACAAATCTAACTAATTTGTGCCCGGGAAATTGAGCTAACAACTAATCTTGTGGTAAATTGTGTGCCAGCTCCATATTGGCCGCACACGTTCTGTGAGCTAACATCACCAACCTTAGAAGTGCTGAAAAGATCCGCTTCTTTTTGAAACAACTTATTGAATTTATTAACACTTATCGTCAGCATGCAGCTGTAATAACCGCGTACTCGTCGCACAGTGGTTATAGCTGCCGCAGTTTCGTTCACCGATGATTTGGGGGGAGGGGTAGCTGGCTGCGCATTTGAGGCGGGAGCTGATAAATTAGTGCGTAAATAGAGTACTGTCAGTGAACTGTTAAGTGGTGAAATTGAGAAAAGAGCTATGCATTGAAGGCAATAGCATGGATGCACGAGTGCCATTGAGGGCGCGACTGGGCCCTGGATTATATTTACAACCATTGATGTGGCCCGTTTCGGGGTTCCCGTCTAGAAAGATGGCAATAACCGGCGCAGCTGAGTTTGCTGGTAATGGCTTTCACGCTTCGCTGCCAAGTCATTGTTTGACCGCCTCTGGCTCTCTTCCACCCTTCACATGGTTGTGTGAAAAGAGCCCTTCGAGGAAGTCGGTCGACTGGCATGCGGAGCGCGCTGCCAAACCAGTGCAACCTATGCAGTGTGATCAGTTCATCTATCGAGGGTAAGTTATTTCTCCCGAATACCATTCGACGTACTTCGGCATTGCTGATCCGGTGTTTCCACCAGACTCCGGCAATGCTCCGAAGACATCGATGGACAAACACTAAAAGTCTTTTGACGTCCTCAGCGCGCAGTGGCCAGGTTTCTGATCCATATAGTAATATGGAGCCCACCGCAGCATTGTAAGCTCGACCCTTGACAGAGAAGCTGATGTCACGCCTACGCCACAGGTGACGTAGGTGCTCTGTCCTTCCCAATCTTGATGGGAATATCAACAATCAACAATAGTTTATCAACAAAGAAGATAGTTCCAAATGCGCACGATTTAAACTCCCCGTTAGTAGAACAGTCCCGGGTTTGTTGCGAAAGAAAACCATTTGAACTGACTGGATTCTGTTTTTAAATTGCTATTCACTTGATAAAAAATAACATGGACTAAAATTTGGTTACGGATTTTCTATCCGTCTACCAGCTTTCCTTTTTGAGGTAGAAGACATGGAGCAAGTGTTTAGCCGGTTAAGCAAAAAAATCATTTTTGGTCCCTTAGCAACAATCAGTCTGCTCTAAGGGTTTAATTGCTTGGAATCCAATTGGGACCGGCCCACCCTGGTTTATGGGAAGACAGGGATCGGCTCCAATAATGCTTGGCTTTGTCGCTGCATAGTCTACTCTCTCCTCGCCCAATTTCTTTGGAGGACCCGTGAGGACAGTGTCCGAAACTGGTGGCGGAAGCGGTGGACGACCACCACCGGGATACCAGGATCGATCTTCATCTCCATTGTAAATGTAGGATGGAGCCGCGACGAATGCTGATGGCGGCGGTTTGGTGCAAGCTGTCACAGGTAGCGAAGGTTTTACTTTGTGCTGCAAAAAAAGATCAGGGAGAAAACTCTGACGATCGATGGTCATATACATTGTTTTCTCACTAAATGTTCAACATATCTTGCCTTACAAAATACATAAGTAGCCAAACACGAGTGAGCCGTGCATGTGAATTCACTCACGTAAGTGCTATTTGATATGCATACTCTTCCTTATTTTGCTCTAAAACGGCAAGTCTATGTACAGACCGTGGTCCTCAAACGATCTTCGTTTACTTTATTATTGTTAGAGGACGGTACGTTTACCGGCGTCTTGTAAGTTTTCCTTAACTTCGATGACGCTACAAGGGATGAGCACTATAGTTGAATGACGAAATTTCCATTGGCTTTACACAGAGCTTCTGGATATACTTTTGTCCAAAAGTCGATTGGGGAGCAAACTGTTGACGTGTTTGATTGATATGGTATTAAGACCGCTACAATAAAACTGACGTCGGACGATAAAAGTTATCCTTGAATAGATATAGACCTGGGGACCCTGCAACATTCTAGTAAGTCATAACGGCTTGAGTTGGCGTTTCTACCCATTTTTGTGTCAGTCCCACTCGTGAACCTCACCAAACCCGAGTGTTTTCTTTCAGTCCCAAGGTCTGAAATCCCTCATTTAATGAGGAAAAAGATATTAGCCAAAAACTTAACAAAACTAAAACCATACACACACGCTAATTTAATGATTAGAAGGGCCTGAGGCCAAATGTTTCACTGATTGCAACAAGAGAGGAGGAACTTTGACTGTGTATCTTACTCTGTAAATTCATAGAATGTCAGGTTTTGTCTACAAGACAACTAACAACAAAAGCCACACTTGTAAAAGTAAAAAATAAAGGTAAACTGCACACAAGCTTTACATTAAAAAATTACGAACCGGGATAAGGTGTTTGGCAATCTTGTTTGTGGCCTCCCTAAAACCTAAACTGTCGTCAGCGTTTGAGAGTTGATTTCTATTTATTAACTGTGGGCAACTTCCAGCTGTCGTGTATGATAAACCTAACCTCCAGGGTTTGTATGCTGAAACCATGTGTTGCCCAGCTACCACGCCGATCGAAGGCAGCGGGAGGGTTGTGATACAGCCAAGTTACTTAAGTCCAGACAGGAGCATTCCAGATGCAGAAGTTAGTTTCGAACCACAAATTTCCGATCACAAATTTCACGCTTTTGACTCTTCTAATGAAAACGAAATGAAATATAAAGCAAACCTCAGGCCCTTTTCTAAACAGGAAAATGTTGGTAACTCAAGTGGCGTAGATGGTCTTTGTTTTGTTTGTTGAGGTGGGCAACTTGACTGCAAACGCTTCATCACCAATCGAAGCGATATCATCAGTGCGTTTTGGGGAAGCGTAGTGGTGCGTAGCGATGGGTTGGAGGTTGTGAGATGAGTAATGTTGCGTGTGTATCACTGTACGCACTACTAACCGGGGCTGACCTTCAATCACGATTAGTTGTTCGGTCGAGTGGTTTCATTGGTCGCATATTATCCTGTGTCCTGATTCGTCGATGCTCACGTGACCTTCGAGCTTAGCATCTCCTGCCATCTTACTTTGGTCGGTGCTGGAGTGACCTCTGGTCTTGGCCCTTCCGAGTCCCGGCGTGTGAACTCTGTTGGGCTGACTCCAAAGACTTTCTCGTTTTTTTGTTTCTAAATCCGATATTCGGTACGTCTTGAGTATTCCGGTTGAGATTTTGGTTCTTTGCACATAGTGGTGCGTAAAATGGATCCATTTCAATGCAATGGTTGATCAAATCCATCGTGGAGTATCATGTTTTCAGAAATTTCCTTCCGTCTCCCGTGTCTCCATGTGCCAATTTTTCGCATTTTCCAGATCGAATTTGTGAAATTCTTGGTCTTGTATGGATATTAACGATAGGCGGCCAGGTTTCCGGATGTCCACGTTGTGTCTCTATTCGTGTGCAGAATTTCCTTCCAGTTTGTCCAACGTAGAATTTTTTGCAGTCGTTGTGGTTGATTTAGCATACTACACTTTTTTTTGGTTTTGTCTCGATTGTCCTTTCGTTTTGTGATTAGAATGGTGGGGTCACGGGGATTATTTTTTTTGAGCTAATGAACTGGTTTCGAGTTCAGATATACCTTTGATGTGATGCAGAATACCCGTCTGATGGCTTGTTGTTGCTGGTGCTGTTGCTGGATGCCTTCCTCATTCAGTTCCACCTGATAAAATTCCTTGGATATCCATCGTTCTGGAATACTCTGAATAGATATTTTTCTCCCATCTTCCGGAGTTCTGTGGTGCTGTGCTTCGCATCCGCCCTCTTGAAACAGGATTGGGACGCTGCTCCTCTTGCTGCCTAAAGGCACATTGGCATCGACGAATCAGGACACAGGATAATACGCGACCAATGAAACCACTCGACCGAACAACTAATCGTGATTGAAGGTCAGCCCCGGTTAGTAGTGCGTACAGTGATACACACGCAACATTACTCATCTCACAACCTCCAACCCATCGCTACGCACCACTACGCTTCCCCAAAACGCACTGATGATATCGCTTCGATTGGTGATGAAGCGTTTGCAGTCAAGTTGCCCACCTCACCAAACAAAACAATGACCATCTAAGGCTCTTTGATAATCACCTATGAGCAAAACTCGCAAAACGGCATCAGTAATAAAAACTTGCCTCTTTCACGGCCACCTGATCCTCCAAAGGACCATAGAGTGATTCTCGGCCTGGGAAAGATTGCGTGTAGAGTCCCCCAAATGGAGCATAATGTTGATGCCCTCCGCTTGCCAGCTGCTGAGTTGCATGCATACTAACCTGTGGATCAATGACCAGGATGAACGACCAAATTGCGACAAACCGTTGCAAGAATTTCAAGTGCCTTCTTTTTATCTGTTTCAAACGGAAATGCGCTCAATATGTATTCTATTCCTTCAGTGGTTTCATGATCCACCAGAGTGCTGTAAGAACTGCATTGCGTGAGATTGAAAATTTACCGTTTCACGCAGTTCAAGGCAGTTAGTCGGTCGTTATTTGTGAGTTGAATAACGTTCAATATTTCGCGTGCTTCAGCGCAACACATACGGCATAGTCTCTACACTGCTGCTCTAAAGTCTATTACGCCAAACATACTCTCTCTAAAGCTCTGATCACGCGAACCCTTTCTGGTGCCGTTTTGAAACAAGCCAGCAGGGCAGCCGCCTTCATAGTTGAGAAACATACGTTGGTAAACTCACTTGAATTCCACTGAAACATCCCCGAGAATAGTACAATTTTTCAAACTTTTTCTCTTTGTCTGATGTCTCAGAGACGAGGAGTGAAAGGAGTCTATTGAAGTCACCGTCGCTAAGAGGAACTTTTGCCATTTTCGTTCAGCTTGATAAAATAAAACAAGTTGACTGATATCATAAACAACCAGTCGTAATTACAGCCTCCGAGCATCACACAGAACATTACTTCCTGTCACCAGTTAATGGCAGTCTGATAAACTATTTGCATACACTACTAATGAGTAACTCGTCAAAAATATTTGGTTCTCTGTCGTTGTAGCATATACTATATAAAACCGCATGGTTATATTTATCCATATTGGAGAATTCACCTTTCTAAACCATTTCTAGCTATATTTATTAGCCTTATAGGTGTATTTTAGTACCAGAAGAATTTTCAACACGTGGCATTGAAATGCCTACTAACCATCAACGAAATTAGATTTATAGGGGTTCTAACGTCGAAATATCGAGACAGCATTTGAATTTGGTTCAGTTTAGAGTGGACAGAGGCGCAGGCATCAGGTCAGTTCATGAGGAACAGTTGTACTGATGCCGTCATATCTAGCCTTTAATTAGTACAGTAGACACAGTATGTATAATTTTGTAGTATTCTTTTGTTCGGAATGGTTATAGCTTATGGATTTGGCCTCGGCCACGGATAATTTTTCCACGTCGTTGGTTTCGCTTTTTAATGATGCTGGACATCCAGCAGCCAACCCTCCCGTCTCCTGTACGATGAACATGGTTTAATTAAAACACACGTAAGACGGTATACAGATTTTAGAGGTCATATCGCTGGATACATGTGAAACAGAGGCGGACTTGTGTATCAAAATCTTCGAGACCTCATTAAGCTGAGGCTACGATCACCTGTCGGACAAAATATTTAGCTGAAAAATTTTGTGGGTTCTGGAAACAGCTACTGTGTTTACGAATGTATTCTCGCTACGACCTGTCATGTGCTTAAAGGTTCCCCTACTTTCTAGCCAGAGCAGAAGTAGAGTTATCAAAATTTGTCCTGTGGTTCTTGCAGACAACTTCAACCTCGATACTACAAAAACAGAAAATCTGAGGAAAACTGAAACTTCAATGTTTTATTGTTGAACAATATCTGGATCCTAACTTGTAAATGTAGGAATGAGAGCTAAGGCACAATTTGTTTAACAAAAGACCAGTGTTATCAAAAAATAATCATGATGGCGTTATGGAGATAGTTCGGACGTTCTCTGCCGCTCAATAAAACCATGCCTTCAAAACAGATCCCCTTCGTTTTTTAAGATTTTTGCGAGGTTTGCAAAAGAAACGAGCTTTGCTTCAAGTTATTACTGGGTTCCTCTTCTTCGTTGTCAAGCGCTTGCTGAACTGCGTCAGCCATCAGCAAAGTCCTTTAATTGTATTTATGGTTACGCATTACACAAATGGTTGCCTCGTTGTATTGTTGGACGACTGTGTCTCACAAATGTCCTTGCCGTAGGTAACTTATTTTCCGACGACGTCATGATTCATTTTCCCGCTCCATTTCTACGTTGAAAACTCGCTCAACAGAAATCTAAGCGAAGAGATGATTTGAAATTTTCCGTTCAAGAGCTGAACCTGAGTCTCGGCACGAACACTCATTTTGTGGACTGAAGAGCCCCAAGTGATGCGCAACTGAGAACAATCTTATAAAATCTGTGTGCAATACGTAGTAGAGTGTAAAAACTAAAGAACACCCAAAAGCATCTAGGACTTTTAAAAACTAATATCAATAATAAACATGTGACTACGTCAAACTGCTGTGTACAAAAATAAATGAAAGACGTATGAGATCGCGCGTATGCTCTCTGTGATACGAAGTATAGTCCAAAGGAAGCAGACAGTATTCTGTGACCATGGTGAGGAATTGAGAGCGGTGTGCCAGCTTTTGTGTACATATGAGTTTCTTGTCTATTTAGGATGAATTTGCAACCACATTACCAGGGGAAAACAGCAGCTTCAGCAACAGACTGAAAATGAATGCATCTATTTTAGCAAATAGAAATCCTTTTGTTGCTCAACTGTTATACCACCTGAGGGAAGCAACAGAGCTATGGTAGTTCCAAGTTCCCCAAACATAGACAGATGCAGGGACTAAGTTTGAACCACAGACTTTTCGGTCATTAAGTCCGCATCTCAATGAAATGCTTGTGGAAAATCCAGAGAACATTGTGCTTACTAATTCTTGTTGAGATTCGTCTACTGGATAGCACGTGATAAAATGTCATCTCCATTCCCTTGAAAGGTCAATTCCTACAGTTTTTGACCGGATGCGGACGAAGTAAACTGAAATAGCAACTGATTATGCCATTTAGTAAATACCACTAAGAATATGTTGCGAATTAAAAACAGCAAAACAACAACAAGTTTACTGTGAAAAATATTTCATACATAAATTTTTCGGCTGTCGTAACCAATGTTTAGCCCCAGAAGAGAGCTAATAGCATTTATTGGTGCTACCAAAATGACAAATGCAAATAAAAATGATCAAAGGAGAGAAACAACATCTTGCTTACACATAAATTTTCTCATCATCATAGAGAACACAACGTAGCTGCTCAAAATTGATGCCTTGAAGTTGCCTAAACATTCCCCTGGTGTCAAAGGTTGACCACCGCTCTGCTTGCATTACCCTAAATTGGGTACAAGAAACGGTATTTTTCTGTGAAACAATGTATCAATGTTTGTAGCTCACAACCATATAACTGCGAAGTTTGGCGCAGGGCACATTCTTTTACTAAAGCCGTTGATGCGCATTGGAACCACCGCTTTCCAATCGTTTTGATTCGGATTTGTTGACACTAGCCTTTATAAGCTTTTGTTTTAAGAAATCTGTTGTTGAAGATTTGAAGGCGTTCTAGATACGCTGCCCGTAGAGCAATAGCCTTGAAACAAAAACATTTCACACCAAAGTTTCCTGCGGACGTCCATCGAGACTTAGATGCGTCAGTTAAGAGGTCAAAATAGGAAATCTAGCCTCATCTGTCAGGCCACTTTTTGAACTACTACGGCTTATAAGATACATGAAACGTTCCACAGTTTTCAGGGCCTTTCCTTTGACTGTAAGTGGTGGCAAAGTAACTGCATTTTCAGGCGAATAGTCGTGTGTTTTGTGGATACAAAGCTATAATTATTGTGTGGGCACGTCTTCGCAGAACTTTGTGGTTATTCAGATGGTCTATGAAGTTAAAAAAAATTGCTAACTGCTGATAGAAGCAGTATGTCCCGTTTGCTAGATGGAGAGTATATTCGCTAATACGGATAATAATAAGGCACCTGACGGTAATTATGTTTATGTTGACAACCCTGGTGGTATAATCTTTTGTTGGAGCACTATAGAGATGAAAGCTACATAAAAGTTGGATGCAAATGTTTTCAGACCACGCCGAGGAGACAGAACTGCGACTTCCCTACTGGAGTACATAATATTTGGAAGATATGTCATTCTTGGTACTAGACAGTTTTGTACATCGAAAATTTGATTCACCTAGCAAAACAGATTTATTTGTGAGTGAAACGTGATGCGCAGCTGAAGGGCAATATCTTTCTATGCATGCGGTGAGTGCAGACTGAAGAGAACTTTTTAATTGTGGGGCAGAACAATGATGCCACCATAGTTACATAAACGCAGACCTAAACCAATTGACCAAATGCTTTCAGATGTCAGAGGAGTTGACAAGTGTGGATCACAGAAGAGACCTTTTCAGGGATACAAAGGTAACAAAGAGCACCATTGTTTGTTCTCAACTTTAATCTGTCAACGACTCAATTAAACCAGCCTACAGCATAAAGGATTATAGGATCAACGACATCCACGTAGAGGTATCATATTCGGGTACAATATTCGCATAATAGCCATCAACTCTGGCAAATTTGGGCTTACGACACTTGGATCGGTGCAGGAAAAATTAGTGTATATCTGAAAACTTTGGCCTAGTACAGATCACGCGTGGCCAACTGTGCTGGTTTTTGACGTCTTCCTGGATGAGGACCCCGAGAAGGTCCACATCAATGGTTAGAGACATTGTCGGACATGGCCCAGTCGTGCCCTCAATAGCGCTCATGGATCCAAGCTATTGCCTTCAACGCATAGCTCTCTTCTCAACTCCACCACTTAACAGGCCACTGACAGTGCTGTATTTACGCACTAATTTATCATCCCCCGCCTCAAATGCGCAGCTACCTACACACCTCCCCGAATCATCGGTGGACGAAACTAAGACAGCCACAACCACTGTACGACAAGTACGCAGTTATCACTGACAATAATGATCATGAGTGTTTATTGTGATCTGATTGTTTAATAACCGGTAAAACCAACTCTCCACACGGAGTATGAGTTTTTTGGCATACTGTCATAAAGAACAAACATACAGTGTACCATTTGTGCACAAAGAAAGAAACGCAATAATCAAAACGAGTTTAATATAAAGAGTCTCAATTATATATGGAATTTGGGACTTATCGTGCAAAAAAGGACTTGCAGATCCATAAGTCTTCACCCTCAAATATTGAAGCTATGTATGTTCCATTAAAATGACCAGGCAAAAATAACGCTCTAAGCTTTCCTGATTATTGTAACCCTTGCGCGTCACAAGTGAGCTGTAGCTCCCATTAGCTTCCAGCAGGTAAAAAATAGTCCCTAGCGGGACTACGTTGTTTTCCCTATCAGTGATTAAACAACTGGCTGACTACCTCACTGAATGACTGGCTGACTGACATGAGAACGTAAGATAACAATGAAGAGAGTAATCAAACCGAATGTAATAACTCTCACTGGCAAAGTCGTGACCAAGTTTTGGAGAACAGTTCGTCAGCCGCAAGGGGTTTCACCTAAATAAGATACCGAATTCCTGATATTCACAGGATTATGAATGAAGATAAATATTGCCTCCGAAATCTCGCACCAAGCAATATTTGGAGTTTTCAGTTTGTCGGTGTAAAGTCGCTTATATCTAAGCAACTCCACAAGTGAATTATAAATAATATACCTAGGTATAAAGAAAAACATTGATAAAGTATAAATAATGGTAGTTCTTTAGAATTCTATGCTGAAAATTAGGTCTGGGTTTGGCGACCTATGAAGTTGGTAATTTCATATACGTAACAGATACTGGCAGTTGTTTTCAGTTTTAATCATTTGCTGAAGACACATTAGACTGTGATCCTTGTGACAAAGTACAGTTCAATAGGAGCTATCATCCCATCCTTAAAGCCAATCTAATCGATTTTGCGAAGCTTTCAGCATCTTTTGGTCATCTTGTAAGTTAGGGGATCAATTTTCAAACCACATGCTAAAAATGTGGCTTTTTATGACCCGAGACAGGTTGCGTCTAGCATAGTCATTTGCATTGTAAATGCTTTGTCAGTTCCTGTTACATTAGAAACTGGTGTCAAAGTCATGTTTTGTGGTCAATGCCAAGTCTTGTATTCTGATGGATTAAGTTTACGCGAAACCAGAAAAAAATATTTACGGCTGGGACAACTAAGAAGTGCAGGTGAATTTCAAACTACTTGTCAAATTTTGTAGCAATATAAGCCTGCGGCACTTCGATGACCAAAGAATCAGGGGTGATTCTTCAAACATCCAGGTAGTTCGTTAAACTTTTGGGCGAGGCTGAGAGGTGGTTGGGATAATTACCTATTACGGCAAAGAAACGTAGATTTAGCATATATCCCTGTTTTGTTATTCTTAGTGCAGGATAACATTAAATATCACTCCTGCTATGCAGAGCATAACGTTTTTGTTCTCTGAACAATATTGGTTAACCATAGATATCTCGTGCAGCCACACCCTGCTATGCTTTTTTTCCTGCGCCGCCAAACGCTCTGTAAATGTTGGATTAGTTAACATCAACATCAAGTGCTCCGTTGAGGTATTTTCAGCATATTTGGTTCATATAAGACCTTTGCTCCTGCAATATTTACCGCACAGATGATAAAAAAGACCTGATTATGGGTCTTCCACCGGAGTGCGCCCTATGTAGAGCGAAGTGAGCTACCTTTAGTTTGGAAGATCGGATTGCCAATCTCCTTCCTAAGCTAAGGTATTTATCCGAGTTTCTACTATGTGGAACCACAAGGTGTGTCTATCAGCTCTTGGTGGCGATTGGTCATCGGCTGCAAAAATGATTCACCATGAAGAATGGAGCTCTCTGTATTGTGTTCCTAATAAAAAATCTTTTTTCGAAGACTTTGCGTTCAATATTTTCTCCTTAGAATGTATGTGGTTTTGTGCAGGAAGTGCAACGATAAGAAGGCCATTGTTAATGAAATTGTCCAGGCAGGAGTTTGATCACCTCGATCCGTGTACGCGCGGTGCAACTGGTGGTCCGTTCAAGCACCGCCATACTTTAGCTTTCCAAAGCATTTTCAGTCCTTGTTTGAGAGCCCAAGTTCTTTCATCAATTTAGTAACCTGCAAAGCTTGCCACTTCCGCTAGCCTAGCAGTCTGGTTTCTGAGACACTTTATTCTCAACACCAGATCTCACAAAGCCTCCCATGCAGCGGCGCCAAGCCTCAATCCGCTTAAAAAGTCCCTGTTCGTCTTTATTTATAGACATCGTGCATCCAAGACAGTATTTTTGCTAAAAGATGTTAAGCACTGGGTGAACTGCTACGTTTGGGCGAGGTGGCCCAAGTGGTTAGAGCACGAATTTACTGACCGGAAGGTCCGTGGTTCGAACCCGGACTCTGCTTATCCACTTGCCCTAGGCTTGGGCAGCCTGGCAGTACCCCAGTCCCTGTTCAACCTTCGGGTGGCATGTCAGTTGATGAGAGAAAGGGTGCTACAACTCAACTAATCCATATGATTTTACTACCAACAACGACACACAAACAAGATGCTTCTTGTGCAGAGTAAGAATCTGTAATCCCAAAGGATGAATGGTTCATTGTATCACCAATTACTCCCTAGGAGGACGTCTTGGGCATAGAACTGACTTCTTTTACAAGTGCATGAGTCTATGGCGGTTATTCAGAATGAGACTCCAGCAAATTGGCAAATTCTGGATAATAATACCCGGGTAGGGCACATCACTGCAACCACAAAAATGTTGTAACGCTTTCTAGGCCGTTTTATATCTCTAAAGTCATCCCCTGGGACAGCAAGACAACTGTTGATACTGATACTCCAGGGCCTTTCAACTACATGGTCTATTTAATTATCCTGAAAGCATCAAGGTGGAGGGAAATAGTTGTGGTAATCGTGACATTTCTCATCACCAGAGGCCGATGTATCATTGTATGCCATCTGATTAGATAAGTAACTCTTTACTGCGACTGACTGCCCTTCCTCCATCCTTAAGGTTATTTTTCGTCGTCCGTGTGCATACGATAGTCTCCACCACTCAAAATAGTGGGTTTCGTTGTTACGGTAACTTCAAGGTCAATGAATAAAGGGTTGATGCACATGATTCACGGATTCATGGATTGATAAACATGATCGAGGCTTTTGCTCAAGTTTCCCGGGTCGCTTTTTCCTTGTCGGTCAGTGACTGTCGTTCATCTGAAAAAAGGGTGTAGCACTACTCTTTATGTTCTCAGCGCGGCTCAGTATGCTCGCCAGCGCAAGGATTCGGCTTTGAACTTCGTCTGCTATGGCTTCGGAAGTGGCTTCCTTTGAGAAATTTGTGGGTGTATCGTTTTCATACTTCACGGCATTTGAGAAGACCTTAAATGAATACGTGAAGGATAACTTTGTGATATTTGTGCGTTCATCCAGTAATCGAAGCACCAACACTATTCTGCGTTACGAATGGGAGTACTACAAATGCAGCAGGCGCCCTCCAAGGTTCACGGATTCACGGATTGATACACAGGATCGACGCTTTTGCCCAAGTTTCCCTGGTTGGTTTAGTTCCTGTCGGTCAGTGGCTGTCGTTCACATGAAAGGCATAAGTGGAAAAAGAGTGTAGCACTGCTTTTTATGTTCTCAGTGCGGGGCAGTATGCTTGCCAGTGCGAGGATTTGCAAAAAAAAGTGTCAAATATTGCCTTCATTGGGATCTAGAAGGAACGTGTACAACCGTCGGAGGGAGATGATTCCACGCAGCATCCACCCGAAATGAAAAAATTTGTTTAATAAATGTGTGCTCTTAGCTTGGAAATTTTATTACTATTTCCCCGCCGGGTGTTTGCTTGTTCAACCGTAAAAAACCTGTTTGCCAAGCTTTGTTCAAACAGGGCGTAAGTAGGAATTACGTCCCCTCGGGGGCGACGGTACTCCAGGGGAAAGAGATCAAGCATCGCGAGACGCGTTTCGTAGTCCACGGATTTGGGGCCGGCAACCATTCTCGTGGCGGCCCGCTGGACACGCTCAATGAGGGTGACGTCTTTCGTACGTCCTGAGTAGACAACTTGGTTGGCGCACTCAAGGAGCGGTCCGACGTAGGCACCATAGAGTATTTGGAAGTCCATGCGAGTAATACGGGAGAAGGTGCGTCGGATCATCCGCATAATGGCGACTGCCTTTTGGGCCGATTTCTCATGGTGCAGTGTGAAGGACAAGTATGACGAGACCCAGATGCCCAAATCCTTTTTGGCATCTATCCTCATGATGTTTTTTGGTCCTTTCTCACCATGCATAACAAAGGCATTCGCTGAATCCCCTCCAAACGATACATGGACGCACTTTTCATCATTCACAGGATGGTGCCAGTCCAACGACCACTACTTGGCAGCGTCTACATCCATTTGGAGGGAACTGGCATTGGAACTCAAGGATTTCAAGTTGTCCGCAAAAAGTAGACATGGACTCGCAAGAACGCCTGGGGGGTCGTTGACGTAGATCAGAAACAGGAGTGGTCGTAGGACTGAGCCTTGAGGAACTCCAATGGAGACCGGCGCTGGAGGAGAGTAGGTCATGTCTGCTCTCACACAGAATGATCTGTCTGATGAAAACGCCTTGATCCAGCGAAGGATTTTCCCTTGAATCCCGTAAGATTTGAGTTTGTGGAGCAGCGGAACGTGTGGGACCCTATGAGATGCTTTTCATTAATCGAAAAATATGGTATGCGTTATGAGTCCTTCGACCTTGGCTTGGGTTAAGCTGTCCATAAAAACGAGCATGTTTGTTACGCAAGAGCGGTTTGGGAGAAATCCGTGTTGAGCTGGAGATATCAGGTTGCCGGAAGCAAGCTGAATAGGATAGCTCGTTTCAGAATGCGTTCCATCACTTTGCACGGCACACTAATGAGACTTATAGGCCTATAGCTGCCAGGCGATGTTCGATCACGAGTTTTGTAGATTGGCGTGACAGTCGCTTCCTTCCAAGCAGAGGGAAGGTGGCCTTGGTCAAGCGACTGACGAAACACCAGGTGTAAATTATTTGCCAGTGTGGAGGGCGTTTCTTTCAGGATCCTTGGATGGACCTCGTCGGGCCCAACGCGCAGAATGGGTTGATCTTGTGCAAGAGTTGACGACTGTCCTCCACCGTGAAGACCAAGTCGGTTAGAGGCTGTTCGTAGTTTCGCCTTGACAAGAGTGGATGTGACGAGGACACTGGGGCTGAATATAGACCTGCATAGTGTCCTCTGTAAGCCTCAGATACCACTTTTGGGTCACTCGTGGGCTCAAGGAGAACGCGGGTGGCTTGTTTCTGCGGCGATGTCTCATGTATTTGAACAGTGCGTTTTTGTTTTTCCGTGGTGGCTTGTTTTCGTATGTTCCATTGGCGGATTTCCGATTTACAGCGGTTTCGTATTTTACGAAATGCCATCTCATCTCCTGTATCTCCTGGGCTTACCTTTTTGAAAATGTTGGGACTATTTTTCCAGAAATCGCAGAATCTCTTTTGGCAGCCTGCGGCTCACGCAAGTGCTGGCTGGCTTTTTTTGGGAACGACCATCGCGTAAGCCTCGTAGACTTTCCGGACAATGGTTCTGTATTGTTCTTCCACTGGAGCTGGTCTCAGTGTGGCTTGTGCAATAAAGATGCGCATTCCTGAGTAGTCTGCACGGCAGAAATCTCAAAACCACATTTGCGGTCCAGGATTTCTGGCCCAATAACAGATAAATCAAATGTCAGCACAAGGTGGTCGCTATGTCCCAGTGGAGCGTTAATCACTACGTGATTAACGAAGTGTCTTTCGTTGGTGATGACCAAATCCAGGAGGGATGGCCTAAGATTTCATAGTCGGTTTTATTCTTGTCGTTCATCTGCTCCCTTTCACCTGAAAGGCACAGATGAAAGAGGTTGTATTGCTGGTCCTTAGTTTCTCCGCGCGTGGCAGTATGCTTGCCAGTGCGAGGACTAGCAGAACCATTGTCTAGTAGTGCTCTGAACCGGATCCTAGTTGGAGCGTGGACGGCTGTCAGAGGAAGCCTACTTCAGGCAGCTACTACACGAATTGGGAAAATTCTGCCTAAAAAGTATTATTTTCCAAATTTTCTTACCATATACCCGTCTTCAGTTTGCTAGGTCAACGATGAAATGCATTTTGGGCGGACCTTGTTCAACCAGGGCATTAGTAAAAAATAGGTTTCCTCGGGGTGACGATACTCCAGGGGAATGAGGCCAAGCAGAGCGAGACGCGTTACAAAATCCACGGATTTAAGGCCAGCAACCATTTTCGTAGCGGCGCGCAGGCACGCCAAATGGGCGTTGAGACCTTCGTGCGTCCTGAGTAGACAACTTGGTTTGCACATTCGAGGAGCGGTCTGACGTAGACCCCATAGAGTAACTGAACGTCCATATGGTTAATGCTGGAGAAAATGCACCGAATCATTCATACCACGGCGAATGCCTTTTGGTCCGGCTTCTCATAATGCAGTGAGAACGAAGATCGCCAGATACCCAAATCCTTTTTAGCGTCTATCTTCGTGTTTTTATCCGTGTGCGAAAATTTCGGCGATTGGTACTTGTAGCTCCTTCAATACCGTCTTTTGGACCACCAGATTTTCTGCGGCTCGAAGGTTTGGGGCAAACTATCTTCTGTGTGGTTTCTTGGGTCTTTTTGATACGGTTTGATATAAAAGGTGTCTCTCTGAGGCCACGAGAGCTGGGTGGCAGCCCCAAGAAGTAATTCTTTTGGCGGCGCTCCCAGATGACTGCACCTTGAAGTCAGCCAGCAGTTTTCTGATTTGATGAAACTTAATCGGCTTGTCTGGCTGCAGTCGTCTTTATTTTGCGTTTGTGTGGACAAACGGGTCACCCACGATCAGCGTGGCCAACTGAGTATACGACGGATTTCCCGGTTTGCTGTTGTCAGGCTATTGGCTTCAGCAGCCAAGGTCCTGGGCTACGACTGTGTCCACAATCAATGAGGTCGTGTTCGACAGAGAGGAGCTGGAGATGGGCAATTTCACATTCTTAGTGGTTGTACGGTTCTCGCAGCATTACCTAATGTCGAAGTCAACACATGTAGTTGATTGGTCTGCAGGCTTCGCTAAAAATCTGATCCAGTCCGGCTCAGAAGTTGTGGCTTGTGTGTGGGGTCCACAGATTCACCTTTGTCGTCTGTTACGAAAAGAAGCGCTGATAGCTCTACGCACTTTTGCGCTGCTTCCGCTTCGCTAAAAATCTGATCCAGTCCGGCTCAGAAGTTGTGGCTTGTGTGTGGGGTCCACAGATTCACCTTTGTCGTCTGTTACGAAAAGAAGCGCTGATAGCTCTACGCACTTTTGGCGCTGCTTCCACGTGAGGTTTGCCTCATTCAGACCTTCCTTGTTTTCTGTATTCGGAGGTATGTGGTGCTTGAGTACAAACTGTTGTCCGAAGACGCCGCCGGTCGCTCGGCGTGCGTTGAGGAGCACAAGGGGCTATGGCTGCAATCGGTTTGACCATCAGTTTGCGGTCGGCTGGACTGGTGCCAAACTGAGGCCTTTTTCGCGACTCCCCGGAGAACTGCTGTGGCCTAGTCTTAGCGTCCATAGATGGTGACCGTCGTATAGACGCCTGATTGTTGGTAAGGCCTTTTGAATATTGGCAGCCCGCACCAATAACTTCTGTAAGGCAGATGGGGAGGAAAGTGTGATTGGAAGCCCAAGCTTTCGCTCGCTTCGTTTCTGGCGTGACCAATCTGCTTGAAGCAATCCGTGGTTAGGCTTTGTGAAGACACTACCAAAGGTGGTCTTTATTGTCGCTGCAGACGGCTGTATACTTTTCCTTGCAGTCAGAGAACCCAGGGTGGCTAGGGTGAGGTTCTCTTTGGGCGGGGAATGTTCGTTATCAATGTTCGTCCACTTCGCCGTGTTTTTTGTGTTTGCATCCTCCAGCGCTTTAAGAAGAAGCTCCAGGCTCGCGTTGATAATCCATATTAAAGCGGTACACTCACACTGGTCTTTCTGACCCGGTAGTGGGGTTTTGGTTTCGTTCTAGTGGCCCTCTTCTTAGTTGCGGTATGCATTGCGCCCTTAATGTAGAGGCAGCTGGCTCAGACGAGCAGATCAGGAGTGTCAGTTGATTGGCTTACCTGGTCGTCCCGTTAACCCGTGCCGCCAGGCCTTGCAGATGTGGCATTTCATACCGCATCTTACGTTTCGCCCATACTAGTTGTTGTCCATCGATGCCTGCAGAGATCAGTTCGTATTCACTGTCGTCAGATTGAGACTGGTGTAAAATATATTCTGAGTTTATCACGCAAATGTTATGTTAGAGTTAGCTAATCCAACAAATTACACGTGTGTACTCTGTAAATATATTGAACAGTAAAAGAATTCTCGCACAAATTTGCACGAGGAAAAAAGGAAACCAATTTCGAGCGTACGGGCACCATCAGATACCATAACTAACTAACATCAACTGTAGCGAAATTAGATTATTCTTCCATCATCGGCCGCATATTTGGACCTTCTTTGGTATTTGAATTTTTATAATTTATTTACCTGGTCCGGCTACTCTTCGGGTAAATCTTAGTAGCCTCCTTACAGTGATGTTCAATAGCGTTCTACCTTGGTGTGACCTTGGCGCGTGGTTAAACGCGTCTGAATTCGTTCTGGTGAGCCCGGCTTTCAAATGGCCGTTTTACTCAAATGAGCCTCAGTCGGTGTCTCCTTGAAGGATGGACCGCCGCAAAATAAAACAATTTGCGGATTCGAGTCGTAACAATTACCTGTTTCACGAAATGAAATACGAAAGTGTATTTTCGGTCATGCTGGAAGCATGCAAAATCTATTTGGCCCTTTGCCGCACATTCGATGCATATGCTGAGATAAAGACAACAGTTATTTGGTACCGCGGAGAGAATGTCGGCCTATATACGATGCTTATGGTTGAGGTTTGGCGCCTCACAGATTTTATACATTTAGCAACGTCCGGCCAGAAGCTATTCGATTTGTGCGCATTTGTCATATGTGGCCAGTTCTAGGTAATGGACAAACCACGGTACCCGTTAATAGAAAGAGCCGGCAAAGACGGCCATTACTATCCTGAATTTAGAGGTATCCACGTCGCGTTTGACGCATCCTTATGATCATAAGTCCCTCGAGGGACTTTGTGCATAATGGCTGCAGGCAGTAAACCCTGACTACCAACTCCATGGTCAGTCGTAAGGCTGCTCTCGGGCGTCATATAGACATGTTATTTCAGCAACAATCGCAAATTCCCGTTGAGCCCCAGAAGCAGGGCCTTGTTTTTCATTAAAACGA